GCCACATGGTGGCCAGCAGGGGGCTACTCCGGTGGCCAGGGCTGGAGAAGCTGCCATGTGGGAGCCCTGGTGGGAAAGCAGGGTGGCGTGGGGTGGGGTGGGGGAAATGGCGGTAGGTACCAGGGTCAGTACCAGTGGGGGAGGCAGTGGGGCCAAGGACAGATGGAGCTTGACACAGAAGCCGGCTGGTGGGGGGCAAAGGCACCAGCCATCTGTGGTGGTTGGACGTACCAGGTGCAGGTCAATTCTAGGGGGCGGGGGGAGAAAGAGGGTGAGGTGCAGGGTTGGACACAGGTCTCTGGGCTATGGAGGGGGGGCAGGCAAGATGTGGGGATGGGCACAGGTCTCCGGGCAGTGGTGCTTGAGCTGTGGGCCCTACGCCCAGGTACTGGCTGTTTGTGTTTGTGGGGCAGATAGCATGAACCTGGCATATATACTGGTGGCAGATGGGGGGCAGATTGCAAGGCTGGGCACAACTACAGGATGTGGATGAGTAGGCAGTTAGCCAGGTTTATACAGGTACCAGCTAGCTGTGTGTGGTCCTAATGGGGGCACAGGCACTGGGGAAAGGGACCAGCAAGTTGGGTGGTTTTCAGGGTGGGTGGAGGCAGGGTCGTGCACCTTGTTAATTATCCATCTTTTAGTATTTTTTCTTGCATAACAATGTAAAGTGTGTGTGAGTGTGAGAGAGAGAGAGACTGGTGGGTGCCATAGTGGCAGACATCAGAACAAGTGCACATGATGTCAATATTGGTGCACAATGCTCACTCAACAAAATTCACTCTACTCATGGATGGAAAATCTTAGACTAGAGGGAACCCTGCCTGCCTAGTGCAGTTGAGAAGCAGCAGCAGTGGAAGCAAGAGCTAGAGGTCCATGAAAGCCAGAAGTGTTCCTATTTTCAGAGCTAGTTGCTGTTATCTTGCAAGTCAAACAAAAACCTTCCAGTGTTTTATCCTGGGTTAAATGTCCTTGCAAACATAGGCCAGATGAAAGAGCTGCCAACATGACAAGCCCGGTACATTAACAGCAGGCTGAGTCACATGAGGCAACCCCACCCAGGACTTCTTAATGAGCCCCCCACCTACACACACCTCTTGAGTCAGCCCTTTCAAACAGAGTCATATGGAGACAGACTCATCAGCTGGGGGACAGACAAATACAAATTATGTCATTTCCGCAGATTATTTCCCCCACAATCTATCAATATTATCTCAGTCTTATCCGGACTGAGCTTTAACCAGTCAGGTCTCTGCAAGCCCTTCTTTCAGGAGGACGCTGAGAGAGCTGACTAATTGCATGGTCTAAGTACGATGAATTAGACACACAGCTGTTATGTCACTGCATAGGAAAGGCAGCACAGCCCACAATGCTCCTCTATTTCCCCTAGTGACAGCGTCTATGAGTTGAGCAGAAGTCTTACAGCCCTCTCAGATCCTGCCACAGACTGCCCTCCAGGCAGACCAGCTCCCAGCTCACACTACTCTGGAATCACTCAGGGCAGGCCTACGCCATGGGGGAAGCTTTGCTTCAGATACACAAATCCAGCTATGTAAATAACAGGGAAGTAGGTGACTACTCGACTATCTGATAAGCATAAGCTTATCGGGTAGTTCTGTGGAGTACTCGCCTACTGGCTCCCCCCTCTCCCTTTGCTGCCTCTGTATGAGCAGCAGGAGCAGCCCCTGTCCACGGGGGTCCCAGCAGGGAACTGGGCCCCTGTGCAGACAGCAACTGCTACCACCAAACAGCCCCTGTTCTGCCTCAAGCAGGGGGTTGGACTCAATGGCCTCCTGAGGTCTCTTCCAACCCTAATCTTCTACGATGTACATACTTTTTTTGTACTGCTAATTAAGTCTTTGGCTATTTGTTCTTTACATTATTTTTTGGCCAACCTAATTATACTTCATTGAATCCTAGAACTGGAAGGGGCCTTGAGAGGTCATCAAGTCCAGTCTCCTGCCTTCACAGCAGGACCAAACACCATCTAGATCATCCCTGACAGGTGTCTGTCTATCCTGCTCTTAAATATCTCAGTGATGGAGATTCCACAACCTCAGTAGACAATTTATTCTAGTGTTTAACCACCCTGACAGTTAGGAAGTCTGACCTAAACCTCCCTTGCTGCAATTTAAGCCCACGACTTCTTGTCCTATCATCAGAGGCAAAGGAGAACATTTTTTTCCCTCCTCCTTGTGACACCCTTTTAGATACTTGAAAACTGTTATTATGTCCCCTCTCAGTCTTCTATTTTCCAAACTAGGCCTGAACAACTCGGAAAGCAGCGAGGGCCATATTACTCCAAAGAAAACAGCTGCGGGCAAGTAGGGTTGCCAGATGCTCTCCCAAAAAATACCGAATACATGGGCTACACATTTTTGTCAGGCACAAAAAAACCAAAAAAAACACACATATCATGCAGGAGGCACCACCAGGCTTCCATCCAGTGCCCAGCTGGACAGAGAGTGCAAATACCGGACTGTCTGGTAAAAAAACGGACACCTGGCAACCCTAGTCACAAGGGTAGGTTTGCAGGGGAGGGGTGATACTTTATTAAGAATTTTTCAATTAAATCAGGTCTGTACAACATACGGCTCCCAATGCCCTTACCCTCTCCTCTCCCAGCATCACCCTGTCTCCCCTCCCACTGACACCTCCCCTCCTGCCTTTTTCCTCATTGTCTCCACTTGGCCCCCTGGCATTTGTCTCTCCTGCACCCTGTCCCTTGGTGCCTTCCCCTTTCTCCTGACCTGCCTCCCTCCCCTCAGCACAAATCCCTTCCCCTTCTCTACCTGGCGTCTGCCTTCCAGTTTGCGGGGCTGCCAGAGCCTTTTTGAATTCCGCGGTCACTGGCCGTGACGTCACAACGCCACGTCACACCAGCATCCTGGCGTCTGCCAGTGTCCTGCCCTCTGGCTCGCACCCCGCTTCCTCGCGCCAGACCTGCATTGCAGGCAACCTGGCAGCGAGAATCGCTGCACTTCCCCCTCCCCGGTGGCACTCCGCTCCTCCGCCCAGCCGGCGGATCGGATAGGGCTGTGCCGCCCGTAGTTGTCACGGGCTGTACAGTGAGCCCCTGCGGGCCGCATGTTGTGCAGGCCTGTTCCAAACTAAACAAGCCCTGTTCTTTCAGCCTTCCCTCATAGCTCATGTTTTCTAGACCTTTGTCATTTTTGTTGCTCTTCTCTGGACCTTCTCCAATTTCTTTCTGAAATGTGGGTGGTGGTTGTTGGGGGTTTTTTTGCATTTACAAATGCACAAAAATGTCATTTAAAGTATAACTAAAGGAAAATCTGACCTGAAATGTGGTGACCAGAACTGGATACAATACTCTGCAGAACAGAGCAAAAGAAACACTTCTCATGTCTTACTCACAACACATCTGTTAATGCATCCCAGAGTTGGCTTGCCAAAGTCTATGCGCCATTCTATTTTCTTTTGTAGTATTTAACTTCCAATTTTAAAAGGAAGTCTTTGTGGTTGTGGTAACCTTTCATTTATTCATATTACAATTACTAAGAAATAACACCACAAAGATTAAGCAAATCCCTGCACTATTGCTGGTTGAAAACCAAAGTGAGCCAGAGATTAGGGAGTTCCATAAATTGAAAGTAAACATATAGTCATGGAGCTGTAGAATCATAGAGCTGGAAGAGACCTCAGGAGGTCATCAAGTCCAGCCCCCTGCTCAAGGCAGGACCAATCCCAATTAAATCATCCCAGCCAGGGCTTTCTTTGGGGAACAAGTGGGTCACATTCTCCAGCATCTCTCCTCAACCATATTCCTCTTGATGCAAACAGCTGGGACTTTGGGGAAATAAACTTCACCAATATTGTGACAGCTGGCAACACTGTTCACTCAAAAAATAACTTTGCCACTAACAGAGTTTGTTCTCTTTTCCCCTCTCAATCTCTCGAATCCCCTTGCTCAGACACTTCACCGGAACTCCTCACAGCCTGATCCTAGGCTTTTCTTCCAACAGTTGTGGCATCCCATTTAGCATCCCAAAGTCCAAAGTGGGGTTTATATTGCTGCCAATCCATTGGAATGGAACACTTGGATTCCATATGCCCCATTAATCATCTGAGAGTACTGTATTAGTCAAAGTCACCTGGTGGTGGCAAGGCTGAAGAAGAGCTAACTAAGGGTCAGTCTACACCAGGGGTCTCCAACTTTTTAAGCACGAGATCACTTTTTGAATTTAAGTGCAATCCAAGATCTACCTCAGACCCAAACACCCTTGTCCTGCCTCCTTTGTGCCCCTTCTCTGAGGCCCCACCCCTGCTCATTCCATCCTTCCCCCGCCCTCCCTCACTTTCCCCAGGCAGGGGCAGAGGGTTGGGGTGCAGGCTCTGGTCTTGGGTTAAGGGATTTGGGAGTGTGAGAGGGGCTCTGAGATGAGCTTTGGGCAAGAAGTTTAGGTTTAGGTTAGGGTTTATGTGCAGGCTCTGGGAGGGCATTTAGATGCAGGGGTGCTCGGGGCTAGGGAAGGGGTTTGGGGTGCAGGAGAGGGTTCATGCCTGGGGCAGAGTTTCAGGATGTGGGCTCCGATTGGGCCCTGCTTACCTCATGTGGCTCCTGGGTGGTGGTTCAGTGGGGCTAAGGCAGGCTCACCCCTGCCCTGGCCCCCCTGCACCACTCCCAAAGGCAGCCAGCAAACCCCCTCCATCCCAAGCCCTGTTGTGCCCCCCACTCTGTTCTGTGGAGATAGGCTACAGGGCGAGAGAGGGGGCACCTTGACATCAGCACCCTCTTCTCCCTCCCCTGACCTGCACAGCAAGCAGAAGACTCCTAGGGGCTGGGGGTGGCTCCAAGGCAAAGGGCAGGAGACGAGCAGTGGTAGGAGGAGGGGCAGTTGAAGTGCTGGCACTTGATAGCCTCTTGGCTAAACCAGTCAAGATCCCCTGTCAGAGGCTCCGGGATCGACTGGTTGGTGACCACTGCCACAGCTGATAATACTCCCGAGTTCTGCTCTTCCTTCACAAACATATGTACTCACCCCTGTTTCTGGAGGATCTGGAAGCCAGCCCAGTTCACTCTGTGCAGTGCTTGTGTCCAGGAGATCCACTGCAAGCCAGAAGGAAAGGGTCAGAAACCCAAATGCTATGGTTTATGGAACAGGTACACCAAAGCCTTCCCCTTCTGTAACTGCTTCTTAGGCACCACTGCTTTTGACTTTCCTCATTCTAGTCAATATGAGCTTACCCGGGTCATTCAGTAATGTCTGCAGACATGCCCCACAACTCAGCCACATTCCTTTTCCCCCTGTCTCCAGCCAGAAAAAGAGCGTAAAGAATCTTTGCCCACACTTCTATCCCCACACTTCTCCCTCAACCCAGGCAACAGCATGAGGAGAGGGAGAATAGCAACAGAGCACAGCAACATTGCAACTACTTAGAAATCCTTTATAATCCACACAAATCCAGGCAGGAAAAATCCAAAGAGAATCACCCTCCTGGGATGAATTAGAATGGGAATTCAGTGCCCCAAAACTGGCTTGGTAATTGACTCATCTCTGCAAGAATCTCCCCTTCAGAACAGGAGACCTGATAGGGGGATAAAAAAAGACAGGTGCTGAGGTGACTGAACAAATTACCAGCACAAAAGATCAATTAGTATTGCCTCAGGGATCTTGCCAAGGCTGGAAAGGGGAGAGCAAGGAAGATTATGGGAAGGTGCACAGTATAAAGAGATGACATGAAAAGCATAAGGCTTGTGGAGCCATCCACCCGTTATTTTGTTTCTCTGAACTGTATTTAAGTTCTAGCAGTCTGTTTGCAGAGGAAGTTGCCATTTTTGCAATAGTCTGGCTACAAACAGAGACAAATCCCATTCGCTCTGGGTATGTCTACGTTGCATTCCTCTTCTGAGAGAGGAATGCAAATACAGATGAGCGAAATTGCAAATGAAGCACGGATTTGAATTTCCCACGCTTCATTTGCATAATTGCATCCAGCCGCTATTTCAAAATAAAAAATGCTGTGTAGATGCATTTATTTTGAAAGAAACTCCTTCTTTCGAAATAACCCTTACTCCTCAAAAAATGAGGTTTAATGGTTATTTCGAAAGAAGGTGTTTCTTTAAAAAAAATGCATCTACACAGCGTTTTTTATTTCGAGATAGGGTATTTCGAAATAGCGGCAGGGCACGATTGTGCAAATGAAGCATGGGAAATTCAGATCCGCGCTTCATTTGCAATTTCGCTCATCTGCATTTGCATTTCACTCTCAGAAGAGGAATGCAATGTAGACATACCCTCTCTCATGCAGTCTTGTCTTTGGTTTTCCCTACTGAAATTATAGAACTATTCTTTGTTTATGGCAAAATAAAAAAGTGAGAACTTAATTAATGCTTTGAAGGTGCAAAGGGTTGAACCAACATTAACTTATTAATTCCCAGGACAGAAATAGGACAGTATCTGGTATAACACCTAATCTGAGTCTCCACCAGGTTTCTGTGAGCTGTGTTTTAGTATCAACTGCACACAACCACCCAGTTTCTCTCCTCTCCCCCTTTATTTCTCTGGGGATGTGATTTAACTCAAAGATCTCTTCCATGTTCAGGGATGGGAGTTAGAAATTTAGCATTCACCGTCCTCTAAGACCATACCCCAATACCTCCCTCGTTAACATTCCATCTCCCATCCCACATACTCACACAGTTAAATTTATCTTCTCTCCTTACACTTTTCCACCTCCTCATCTCCACCTTTCATCACTTCCCCTTCCCAATGCACTGCCTCAGCCACTTCATGCAGTATTGTTGCCACTTCTCCTGGTTTTCTCATGAGTTTCAAGCTGTTGGGTGGTTTGGGTTTTTTGTTTGTTTTTTTAAAGAGTCCTGACTTCTGGAGAGCATGTGTTTAGGTGGGAATCCTGCTTTCAGTTTAGTTCCTAGCCCTTATGGTTGCTGTGAAAAAAATGAAATGGGATCTGAGTGCACTCTAAAGCCTTAGAATATGGAAGACAAATAAAAAAAACCCTTAAAAAAAAACCAGATTAATGATTTTTTAGGCTTGGCTCATGGTTTTTGAATGCTTCTGTAGTTGGAGATCCTGGTGATTCTGTTATTCAGGAATGTGAAGATGATCAACAGAGCTGTACCCCAGTGCAATCATGTCAGCAGAACTGCACTTTCCCATGGGATGAAGCTTGGAAGGTTTAGATTTTTATTGGTCAGTGTTGATAAACATCAAATTCACACTAACTTGTCAAAATATTTCCATTGTAATCAAAATGTGCAGTTAGGCAAAGTAAGAAAAAAATGCTGCTAGAAAACTTACTAGAATTTGATTTAAGGCTATTAACTTTGTACATTTTGCCACGAGATGCTCACGACTTGTGTTTTAGCAGCTTTAAAGCTTTAACGTTTTGAATACCAATGCCAACGGTTGTTAAATAATTTGTCTGACTCCCCCATACTTTTCTACCATTGTGAAAATTTAAACAGATAAACATTGGAAAAAATGTTTAAAAATAAACAGGGATATTATCCATGGAATCATCAAAATATAAAAACTGAATTCTGCCAACCTTGCTTGTCTGTCCTATTGTGGAGGTCATGCCTGAGATCTAAGCTATCCCAGCAAAAGAGCCATTTTGGTGGCATAAGCTGTACCCTTGCTAAGAACATGTTGCTGGTACAATCGTCCAGGTCAGCTCTACCAGCAAAGTACTCCTAATGTAAACAGGCCTGTGAGTTACTCTTTTGCAACACAAAGAAAAATCCCTGAAGATGCTCTGTCAACTTCCACCAACCTCACTCTAAGGGCCCTATCCAACTGGAAAGAAATGAAGGTGGCAAAGCATCAAATGAAGCAGTGGTTCCCAACAGGGGTTCTGTGGTCCCCTGGGGATCTGTGAACCCTTTGAGGGGACCACTGAGCCCTATATCTAGAACCCAGAGCCCAAGCCCCAGCACCTTCTGTGGGGCTGAAGCCAGGTTCAAGCCTCAGTCCCCAGTGTCCTCCCCCTCTCCCTCCACAGAACTGATGCTGGGACCAGCAGAACTGAATTCCAGAGCTCTGAGCCCTAATTCTCCCCAGGAGGCAGAAGCCCTGAGCCCATGGTCAGAGCTCGGGGGTGTTGCCCTTCCCCCACCCCAGACTACAGTGAAAGAGCATGGCAGTCCCTGGTTATCTCCACCTCACCCCCCTCTGCCTCCTTCATTCCCTGCCCAGGTCAGAGGCAGGAAGCCAGAGCCAAGCAGTGCAGGACAGCCGCAGCTCTGACTGGTGTCAGGGAGCAGGCAGCTGCAGCATTCCCCTGGCTCCTACTGGTACAGGGAACGGGAGAAAAGAAAAGGGAGTCTGAAGCTGTTCCTCAGCTCCTGCCAGCCACCTTTGCTCACTCAGCCAATAAAAACCACCTGGGCAAAAAGGCCATTTCCATGGCTGGCAGAACCCTTGAGGAACAGGGACCCCAGAGGAGCCCTCCCAGTACACAGTCCCTAGTACCCCTCTCCTTACACTCTGATCTATGCCTGTGCATGCACACACCCCTTAGCTACCCCCTGCCTGCACATAGCCTAGTACCCCTCTCCCTACACCCTGAGCTATGCCCTCCCTGCACCCTGAGCATCCCGCTAGAGCCACTAGCTACTGCCTTCTCTGCACTCTCAACTCCTCCCCTTTCCAAAAACAGCTCCTAGCTACCCCCTACCTGCACACAAGCCCTGGCTATCCTCTCCCTGCATCCTGAGCTACCCCCTCCCTATACAGCCCTTAGATACCCCCTCCCTGCACTCTGGGCAACCCTCTGCTTGCATAAAGCCCCTAGCTATCTCTCTCCCTGATCCCTGAGCTGTTTTCATACTTTTTGAGCTAAGCCCCGTTACCTTTGAGGTAATAACTTTTGGTACCCACCCCCACAAGCCAGACAAGCAAGTGGTCTGCTGAGATGAGGCAGGTGTGAAGGTGGTGCTCCCTCCCCAGACCCACCTGCGTGGAGCTGGCTTTGTCCCTTGCCCACCCAAAATAGAAGTCAAACTACACCTATGTCTGAACATCTCCCCTCCTCTGGCCCAGGATCCCAAGTGTCTCTGCCCCCCTCCCCCGCTGGGCCCTGGAGTTTTTATAGCATGTTGTGATTGTGGGTAGTCTCAGAAAGAAAAAGGCTGTGAACCTGATTTAAAGCCCTGGAGTCTCTTTCTAGTCAGGGGCAGCGAGATCAGTGTTGCTTGCCAGCTACAGCCAGCAGAGTATAAAGTGCAGGAGAGAGCACGCAAGAGACCTCTGGAATGAGGAAGCAGAGCATGGCCCAGGATCGGAGATATGGACCTGAATTCTAGCACACACACTCCTCCCATTTCTCCTTTCCACTCTACTCCCCCTTCCAATTTTGAGAAGATAACACTTCCACAATACTGTAGTCCCAAATCCTTTCTGCAGGAGATGCGCCTCATTCCAGTCACTTCCTAGAGGACACAGTAGCAACTCCATGCAAGTAAGAGGCAGGATAAAAGGAAGGGGGAGCAGGCAGTTTTTATAAGGGTAAGGAGACCAGGGGGGAAAAAGTACTTTAATGAGCAAGAGAGATTTAAAAGCATTATAGGCAAGCACAGGACCCAGCTATGCAGAAGCTCATGCTGCCTTGGACTGCTATCTGGGGGCAATACCTACTACAAGATCAACTCTCTGGAAGTCAATCTTCTAGCATTTGATTTAGCAAGTCTAGTACAGACCTGTAAATCGAAGGCTGAAGGCAGCTGCTGCTGGTGTCTGGTACTCCCCCTTTTGTGAGGAATAAGAGAAACCAACAGGAGCAAATGGTCCCGTCAGCCTCCCATAGCGTGGATGTCACCATAGCTCGGCTTAAGGTTTTGAATAGCTGGAGTCGCGTACCTTAAGCTGACCTTCCAGATCCAGTGTAGACCTGGCCTAGTAGATGTGAGTTGTGGTGGGAACGAACACACACACACACTCTCCCCCAGCTAGGCCACGCTCACAAGGCCCACAATTTGGATGCTGCATAGAAGTGGAGGGAAGGTAGCACTGAGCCACTGACCTGCACATTTTAGATGTTAGGGGACAGAGGACACAATGGTGGGAAAACACAGTTTGGCTGTCCATCCCCTGACATGTGGCAGTCTCACTGTGGCATAGTTAGGGAGAGAATCTCTCCAAGAGAATCCCCTACAGACCCAAATAGAGCCAGGGAACCATATCACCAATGGGAACGAGTACTGTTAAGGTATGTCTGCTCTTTGAGTTTCAGGGTGCAATCCTCACCTCAAGGAGAAATACCTGCACTCACTCTCATTGAGCTAGCGTGCTACAAATAAAATGTAGCTGCCATGACTGGCATCAGCGGCAGGGGCTAGCTGCTCCCACGTACCTATCCATAGGGGATTAGGCATGCACTGTGGCTACAATGGAGAAAGAAGCTAGCCACTGTGGGTCCATGCTTAGTGTCTTGGATGGGCAGGTATTCATGGAGGCCCTCGCCCAATGCTGCAGCCTCATTCTATTTTTAGAGCTGTAGCTCCATCAGAAGCAGCATGGATATGTTTCCTCAAGTTGGGAATTATACCCGCACCTCAGTGCGTCTCAGGGCATGTCTACACATGTTCTACAGGGTGGACTTAAGGACCGGATCACAGGCAAAGGGCATGGCAGATGTATTTGAACAAGTTATCCAGTCCCCAAAGCATTACCCCAGCTATTTTTCCAAGACAGTTCCTGGAGTTCACTTGGAGACCAAGTAGGTTCTAATTTAACCTGGCCCTCTCCGCAACACTTGCAGCCAAATCTGTTTAGCTACTTATTTATCCAGAGCCCTATTTCAAGTGTGTCTGAGAGCCACATCCAGTATAAAGTCCAGAGCAGGGCCAGAGAAAGGCCTACACTCTAATCTGCGCAGAGGTGGTAGCACAGTGCTAGGGGAAGGTCAGCTCCACTAGCTGGGGAGAACAGGGAAGCCCCCCATACAGGCGTGCAAAGAAAGGTGAGGGAGATGGTGGTGAAGAGACAAACATTCCATTCAGATTGGGATACACTGTCTAGGAATAGTGACCACTGTAGTGCTTAAGCAAAATGCAGGACAATGTAGCACTTTAAAGACTAACAAGATGGTTGATTAGATGATGAGCTTTCGTGGGCCAGACCCACTTCCTCAGATCAAATAGTGGAAGAAAGTAGTCACAACCATATATACCAAAGGATACAATTTAAAAAAATGAACAAATATGAAAAGGACAAATCACATTGCAGAACAGAAGGGGGATGCGGGGGGGTGGGAAGGGGGAGGAAGGAAGGTAAGTGTCTGTGAATTGCTGATATTAAAGGTAGGGAGAGTGGGATGTTTGTGAGTTAATGGTATTACAGGTGATAATTGGGGAAACTGTCTTGGTAATGGGTGAGAAAGTTCAAAGACTTGTTAAGTCCTTGTTGGTAAGTGTCGAATTTTAACATGAATGACAGTTCAGAGGATTCCCTTTCAAGTGCAGATGTAAAAGGTCTTTGTAGCAGAATGCAGGTGGCTAAGTCATTTAGAGAGTGTCCTTTCTGGTTAAAGTGGCAAGAAACTGTTTTCTCTTTGTGATCTTGTCTGATATCTGTTTTGTGGGCATTAATCCTTTGGCGAAGTGTCTGAGATGTTTGTCCAATGTACATAGCAGACGGACACTTTCGGCACATGATAGCGTAGATTATATTTCTGGATGCGCAGGGATATGTGTTCTTGATCTTATAACTCACTTGGTTGGGTCCAATAATGGTATCAGCAGAATGAATATGTGGACAAAGCTGGCAACGGGGTTTGTTGCAAGGGAAGGTACCAGGGTTGGTATTAGTGTGGTATGTCCTGTGGTGGTTGGTAAGAATCATCTTGAGGTTAGGTGGTTGTCTATAGGAGACTATGGGTCTGTCTCCCAGAGCCTCTTTGAGTATGGTATCCTGTTCCAATATAGGCTGTAGTTTATTGATAATGTGTTGGACAGGTTTAAGTTGGGGGTTGTAGGTGATGACAAGTGGTGATCTATTGTTGGTTTTCTTGGGTCTGTCTTGAAGTAGATGGTTTCTAGGTATTCGTCTGGCTCTTTCAATTTGCTTTTTTATTGTCCTGCATTTTGCTTCAGCTACCCCAGACTAACACGGCTACATCTCTATCACTGTAGTACTTGTGAGGCATTCAGGGTATCTAGTAACAGGACTAAAGGGAGAGGAAGGCACAAGGGAGGTAGAAGTGAGGCAGGAGCTGGAAGGAAAGAGAAACGGGAGGAGGGAAGCCAGGGAGCAAAGGGAAGGCCAGGGTAGCTAAGCCATAGAGGTGCCTCCCCCTGCCACGAGGAAGTGGAAGGGGAGAGCAGTGTTGACGGGCTCTCTAACGCAGAAATCTCCACAAGCGCTCCAAAGGAAAGTGTGCAGTCCCGCCAGGCTCAGGGAGCGAGGAAGGGGGGCGTCAGGCATTGGCTTGTGTTTCGACTTGTAACCTAGTCAGAGCTGGTGTTGAATGCCACAAACGCTGTAAGGCGCCGTGTGTCCCGCTTAAAGGCGGGGAGGGAAGGGGCAGCGCTTGCAGCCACCGGCCTGCCTCCCCCGGGGGAGCGTGAAACTAGCTTACAAAGTCCCCAAAGCAAGGAGCGTCCCTCCTCCCGTTGCACTCGCTGGCCTTTCCCTTCCCCCCGCCCTACTCCTGTCCCTCGAGGAAGGCCGGTGTAATGCAGATCTCATAAGTAGCAGCTTTCTACATTACACCGGTCCCGGCCCCTCCAGAGGGGCTCTCCCGCTCCCCACTCCGCGCTCTGCGGGGCCCCGGCGCTGGAGGCCAAGCGCCCGGGAACGGGCAGTCAGGCTCGCTCCTTACCTTCTTTCCCAGCTGTCCCAGGAAGCAGGAAGGCACAGAGCAGGAGACAGAGCCCCGTGGGGAGACCTGTCCGGCTGCCAGGGGATCTCAGCTCCATAGTCCCCGGGGAGGAAGCTCTGCTCCCAGCCCCTTGCACCCTGGGTCTCTGCTTCCTTGGCTCACGCCCAGGACACCTGGCTCTTGCACCCAGCGCGTGAAGCGCTGCCGGAGCCTCCTGCCGGGAGCGCGCGCATTGCAAAATCTGCCTGCCTGGCCCGCGGTTGTGATGAAAGCCCAAGGCGGGGGGTGGAGAAGCCAGTTCTCTGCCTCCCCACTTGCTGCCTTCACCTGCTCTTTAAAGGGCTGGGTCCAAACTTCCCATCTGGCAGGCAAATACACGCCTCTTAAAGGCAGCCAGCCACCTTTCCCCGGGCTTGTCCCTGCGCCAGATCTTTGCTCCAGGGTTGTGCATGGCTCCTGGATGCCACCTTTCGGGCTGCTCTTGCCACAGCCCCTTCCCGCGTAAAGCCAGGCGTCCTGCAGCCTGACCTGTTCCAGCTGCTTCTTGGTGATCTCGCTCCTGGACAGAGCACTAGATCGAAAGGCAAGGCCTCGTGTTTGGTTTTAACGTGTCCTGCGGGAGAGACTGGGACTGGGACATCTAAATGAGGAGATGATATTGAAACCTTTAAGTGCGTGGGCTGCTTGCAAACACACATATCGCTCACAGCATGCACAATTCTCCTCTGCCTGTCTAGTGCCCCTCCTGTTACTGCTGAGGTGCAGAGCATGTATTGGTTACAGTCCCAATCACTGAGCCTGATCCTTAGCTCTAGTCACATTTATCTTTGGAAATCCCAGTTCAGGCCAAGATGGCAGGTGTCCTACATGGATGGAATCGGGTACCAGCAGAAATGGCAGGGCTGGTTTCTCCATAAGAAAGGCCAAAAAGCAGGAGGGAATAGCGAAGATCTTGGTAGAGCATTTGCTTCTCTAAGGTCTTGCTTCCATTAGGCATTTGCCCCATTTCAGTTATTGGTGCAGTTACATCAGTTTGAAACTTGTGTAAAAAGGAAAGCTGCAATTTATCCTGGTTTCAAATGCCATCATCAATACAAAGACTGCATCTTGCCTTCTTACTCCAGCTACACCAAAGGTGGATCATAAGTATATGAAAATGTGGCAATCCTTATAGACAAGGCCTAAAACAGATTGTGCCAAGGAGACAGAAGAGGAGAGAACCACCACCAGTAGGGGACAGGGACTGCACTGAGGGGAGATTCTAGTTGGGTTCAACAGCTGGAAGAAATCAGGCTAAGGGAGAAAAGAAAGCAAGCTAAGGACTCACTTTCAGGGCCTTAGCACTGTAAGAAGTGTATCTGTGCATATGAGGTGTTCACAGCTTCAAGACTCTCCAGAAATTCTATAAGCAAGTTTATTAACAGCCATTATCACTCCGATATGACCTGCTCAGAAATGTCATGCCCATGGCTCCTTTGTATGGTTGCTATTTCTTCTTGTGCCATTTCACAGTCATCTCTTGGGAGTCTGAAAAGCTTTACAGCTTAGTTAGTGTATGGGTCATAATGCCAGGAATAGCATCAAGTAGCTTTACTGTTGTTTTAAGTGCTGGAATTTGCTTGCTATTTGTATATGTTTTCTACCAGCAGCTCACTATCATAGGCTGTGACCAGATAGTGAAACAAAACACTTTGGCGATGTCTATACTGTAGCATTCTTGCAGAAAAGCATATGCAACTGAAGCACGGCATGGAATATCATCGCGCTTTATTTGCATAAGTAATGAGCAGCCACTTTTGCGCAAAAAGGAGCTATGTAGACGGTTCCTTTTTGCACAAAAAAACCCTCTTGTGCAAGAGCCATTCTTCCTCATTTTTTGTATTTATTTGGTACTAGAAGATTTATCCAGCATTGCTAGGGTTCTTAACTCAATTTTTTTTTTTAATAAAATGATGTAAAAGAAGGCTCTTTGCTGGCCAGGACTTGTGCGCATAGCCTCCTAGCTAAAGGTCATCCTCCCCCCCAATGAAAAACCCCCATGCTGTGATATTTAGAAAACAAGAACCAAAACCAGACATGTAACTTTTGCCCTGGCTGGGCCATGTCTGATAAGGCAGAACAAGAAAACAGAAAGCCATCTCACCCCCTTCCATTCCCCCATAACCCTGTCACCACAGATGGGGTCTGCCCACTTATCACAGAAAAAACGCACAAAAGCTTCATCTATAAATTGGCTTCCCCGCCCGCACAAGAACTGAAGCTTCCCGAACAAAGAACTGGAAGGTAGAATCCGAGCCAGGTCCGAGGACTGATCACCCAAGGACCCCTTCCCACTCACTGAATCAAACGAATTTCCCAGAGTGTAACGTATACCGAATATGTTGTTGTTGCTGTTGTAGTTTGTGTGTCTGTTAAATGTAAGTATTGTTATCTGAAATAGTTCAGAGGTATTATTAAGTAGTAGTGTTAATAGTTTTAGATAAATGATTAGTCTTATAAGTAAAACTGATGTAAATGTAACTTAACAATCCCTGGTCCCCTGTTGACAATTATTGGGATTTAGAAAAACTTCAGGGAATTTTCTTTACTGTATTGCATTTTGCTTATTGTTCATGTTAGTACTTATTTGGTGCCCACGTATGTAAGGAATTGATAAAATAATAAGTTACACGTGCAAGCCTTACGATAAAAGTTTAAACAATATCCAATGAAAGCGTGTCTATTTCTGCCCCCCTCTGGGACTGGCCACATTCCCGAACCTTCTATCGTAAATCAACAAATGAAAATGTGAATGCTTCATTTGAATCCTTTCCCTTTGGAAAAACCATGCTGACTCTTCACTAACAAATTATGTTCTTCTCAGTGTCTGACAATTCAGTTCTTTATTATAGTTTCAACCAGTTTCCCTGGTACTTGAGTCAGGCTTGCCAGGATCATCTCTGGAGCCTTTTTTAAAAAATGACATCATGTTAGCTATCTCCCAGCCATTTGGTTACTGTGGTTTGGATTACAGCAGAGGTATCTAATCTATGGTCATAAGAACATAAGAACGGCCGTACTGGGTCAGACCAAAGGTCCTTCTAGCCCAGTATCCTGTCTGCCGATAGTGGCCAGCACCAGGTGCCCCAGAGAGGGTGGACCGAAGACAATGATCAAGCGATTTGTCTCCTGCCATCCTTCTCCAGCCTCTGACAAACAGAGGCCAAGGACACCATTTTATCCCCTGGCTAATAGCCTTTTATGGACCTAACCTCCATGAAATTATCTAGCTTCTCTTTAAACTCTATTATCGAGTACCAAGAGGGGACATTTAAAGGGAGGTGTAATTAGTGGTTTGAGAGACACGCCCCAACTGTCCTTTTCTCAGTGGGGGGAGGTGTGTGATGGGGTGGGCGAGACCCCAAAGCCCACTGCTGGAAACTTGTGGCACTTTGCATACCCAGCCCCAGGAAAAACAGCAGAGAAGTCCTCCAGGCGGGCTAGAGTGTCTGCTTCCGCTGCAGCCAATAAGGAACCAGCAAGCCAATATAAAGAAGCTGCTGGGCTGGGGCCAATCAGTTCCTCTTTGGAGCTCAAGCTAGGCAGAACCAGGGACCAACCGACCGACCCTTGGACAGGTCAGTGTAGAAAGCTGATTACAGACCCAGCTGGAGCCCAAGGCCAGCTACTGAGGGCCAAGCGTGGCGGTTAAAAAGAGTTGCAGAACTCTGAACAGGGTGCTGCTGGAACTTTGACACAAAGCCCTGAAGTAAGTACAAGGACAATGCAGACTAATGGAGAAGCGGCTCAGGAAGCAAGTAACAATGAAACCTTCAGGACTGGTATAGAATCCTAGGGCTGGAAGAGACCTCAGGAGGTCATTGAGTCCAGACCCCAGCAGGACAAACCCGAACTAAACCATCCCAGCCAGGGCTTTGTCAAGCCGGGACTTAAAAACCTCCAAGGGGGATGGAAATTCCACCTCCTCCCTAGGGAACCCATTCCAGTGCTTCACCACCCTCCTCGGGAAATAGTTTTTCCTAATATCCAACCTAGACCTCCGCACTGCAACTTGAGACCACTGCGCCTTGTTCTGCCATCTGTCACTACTGAGAACAGCCTCTCTCCATCCTCTTTAGGAACCCCCCCTTTAGGTAGTTGAAGGCTACTATCAAATCCCCCCTCACTCTTCTCCTCTGCAGACTAAATAAGCCCAAATCCCTCAGCCTTTCCTCATAGGTCATGTGCTCCAGCCCTCTACCATTTTGATTGCCTTCTGCTGGACCCTCCCCAATGTGTCCACATCCTTTCTGTAGTGGGAGGCCCACACCTTGATGCAATACTCCAGTAGTGGCCTCACCAGTGCTGAATAAAGGGGAATAATCACTTCTCTGGATCTACTGGCAATGCTCCTCCTAATGCACCCTAATATGCCATTAGCCTTCTTGGCTACAAGGGCACTCTGACTCATATCCAGCTTCTCATCCACTGTTATCTCCTGGTCCTTTTCTACCAAACTGCTGCTTAGCCATTTGGTCCCCAGACTGTACCAATGCTTAGGATTCTTCTTTCCCAAGTGCAGGACTCTGCACTTGTCCTTGTTGAACCTCATCAGATTTCTTTTGGCCCAATCCTCCAATTTGTCTAGGTCACTCTGGACCCTATCCACCTCTCCCCCTAGCTTAGTGTCATCTGCAAACTTGCTGAGGGAACAACCCATCCCCTCAGCCAGGTCATTAATAAAGATGTTGAACAAAACCAGCCCTAGAACCAATCCTTGGGGTACCCCACTTGAAACTGACCGCCAATGAGACATCGAGCCACTGATCACTACCCATTGGGCCCAACAATCTAGCCAGCTTTCTATCCACCTTACAGTCCATTGTTCCAATCAATACTTCCTTAACTTGCTGGCAAGAATATTGTGGGACACCATATCAAAAGCTTTGCTAAAGTCAAGGTATATCCTATCCACCACTTTCCCCATGTCCTCAGAGCCAGTGACCTTGTCATAGAAAGCAATCAGGATGGCCAAGCATGAGCTTGGTGAATCCATCACTGATCACCTGATCACTTTCCCCTCTTCTAAGTGCTTCAAAATAGATTCCTTGCACCAGAAGGAACTGTCTACACTGGCCTTTCTTGCGCAAGAAACCCTCTTGAGCAATGTCATTCTTCCTGAAAAGTAATCGGCGTAATGGCATTATGCAAGAGGGTTTTTCTTGCACAAGAAGGGTCAGTGTAGACAGCTCCTTCTGGCACAAGAGCCTCTTCTGAAAAACTGGCAGCTCATTAGGTATGCAAATTAGGCTTGGCAATATTCCACGCTTAGCCTCATTTGCAAATTTCTTGCAC